CAATTTTGTTCCCTGGTAAGTGGACTCAGATGGAGTCTGGGGTGCGGTATATTTATTGGGGAGTGTCCTGGGGATGAACACTTGAGGAAGGGGAGGGAGAAGAAGCTGCAGAGGGAGGACTCAAGCCAAACACAGGCCTTACAACAGCTTCGGCCATGCCCTGAGTTAGCACCCAGACACCTATACTCCAGCAGTGATTACTCATGGGCTTCGGGTTACCCCAGGAGAGCGTGGAGCAATCCCTGAAGGGGTTGAGGCTTAAAGGTTGCTGGCTGGCGGCTCTCCATCAGCTGGTGCTAAATGTCCTTCAGTGGAGGGGCATCTGGTTGGCAAATGGAGAGTCCACCACACAATGTATTCCTTAATTACTCATTTATTTTTTTTATAATGACAGTTTCAGCTGGACTTTTCTGTCCCTGGCAGCTGAAGGAATCCTGACAGGCAAACAAGGAAACATTCCCTACAATCCAGAGCTGTCCGTATATGTACGGGGCTGCCTTGGCAGGGAGCAAGCTCCTCATCCTCAGAGGTGTTCAAGCAAAAGCTGGCAGGCCACTTTGGAAAGGAAGCCTCGTGTGCTGGAGGGAAATCTGAGCTGCGTCAGCTTTCATTCTAAGGTTCCTTGACTCCTGGTCCCTGAGGACAGGCTTGAAGAGATTCTGGTTACTTCTGGGCAGGGAACGTGGACATCACGTGGACGCATCCCATGGACATCAGAGCATCCCAGATCAAATCTCATTGCGTCCTCTCCCTCCCAGCTGATTTCACTTGACTGTGGGCTTGGGAATTTGACTTGAATTTGGAGATGAAGGGAGTGTTTCCTGGTTTGCTAAGGAAAGACACTTTTTTTGTCATTAGAAGGAATCCTAACTGACTTTCCCACAGACTGCTTTCACCCGCCATGCCCAGAAAGGCAGATGCCGTCCTCCGTTCATGCGATCTTGGGGCCTCTTGGTCAGTTTTCGTCCCTCTATTTCTGCCTCTGAGTTCCTCCTGTCTCCTGGTCTCTATCCTCTGGCCTCTCCTGTCACTATGCTGCTCCCCAAGTCGGCCTCCGCTGGCTGCTGTGAGGTCACCCACCCTTTCGTGCCAAGGATCTCACACCTCGGCCTCATGCACCTGCCACAGGCTCAGGGTTGGATCTCCCCACTTGTGTCTGAGCCCTGGGCGTCCGGCCCTGGGCCTTGGGTGTCTGGCTCTTGCCCGTCTGGGGGATCCCCCTCTGCCTGCTTGGACTGCCTGTGATGTGGCTGTTTCTCCAGCCCTGAGCCCCCTGCCTCGGCGGAGCGCCTGCAGCCTGGGCAGGGCGGGTACGGGCACCTTCGTGTGGTGTGAGGAGAGGGCCCTGGACTCGGGGCCTGGAGGTTCAGAGTTTGAGCCCCGAAAGCCTCTGCCATCACACGGATCAGTCACCCTGTCTCTGAGCTCTCATGCCTTCATCTGCTTCCTGCTCACGAAGTCGCGGTGGGAATCCTCATAGTCCTCGCTACCGGGGTTTTAGGACATGTCAGGGCCTAAGCTTGGCACTTAATATTCCTCTTGATCCTCCTAACACAACGCTGTAGGGATGGATGGCGTTTTTATCCTGATGAGCAGATGAGCAAATGGAGGCCAGGGAGACTAAGTAATTTGCCCATGGTCACGCAGCAGGGCTGAAACTCCAACCCTGACATGTCCTCCTCCATAAAACTATTGCCATCTACACCTTCACTGTAAGGTGAGGAACACAGAAATGCTTTCTAACAACGAGAAAGCTTTTCTGCACATCGGCACTTACCATTATTTTAAAATCATCCACGAATCTCTCCGGATCTCAAAGGTGTAAGGACCGTCGACAGGGCTGGTGCTGACTGGTGCTGGCAAATCTCAGACAGAACCATCTTGGGTTATCAGTTCTTTGCATCTCTAACTTCTTCGGCCTCAAGAATGTAGAGGGAGAAGACTCGGGGAAGACTCCCTATCACTGGAGATTCACTGGACACTTGAATGTGGAGCCTGATCCTAGGTCAGCTTTGAGGAAACAAAGCTTGGCTGCAATCAAAACGGCCAGGGTGTTTGCATCATGCAAATGTGCCTGCGGTGGCCTTTGCCCTCATCGTGCCCTGCGGTGTGGGGAGACACCGAGGGGCTGGGGGGTGGGGGACTCCAACCACCTCCACGCTGGCTGCAGCACTTTATCAGGAACAGAAGCAGAAGCGAGGAGAAGTTGGTCCCACTCTGCAACTCAGAGGGGGCTGGAAAGATTCAGGTGATGTTGCTGGAGGTTGGCAAGTCCGAGCTGCTGCACCTGCCAGGGCGCTGGCTCACGGCTCCGAAGCCAAACAGGTTCTGGGGCTTGGTGACCCAAAAAGGAAGCTGCCCGGAAGTTGGGTGCTGCTGCTAGGGCACAGCGAGGGAAACCTGATTCAAAAGCCATATGATCCCTAGGGAAGTCAGTTCAAGGTGCGAAGGCTTCCTAGCTTGTCCCGAGAACCTCGGCACCAAGAACCACAAACAGCACATTTCACTTTGTACACAAAGGTCAATCCTGAGGCATCTGGAATCTTTAAATTATAGGACTACATGTCTGGGTTCTGCTGTAGCCTAGACACTGTTAACTTTTTTCCTACTGTGATTTTTAGGCTTCTCCTCTAGAAATTGGTTGTATTTAATATACACAAGTCTTCAATTTCCCAAAGAAAAATCCATTAAAAAGAAAACAACGTCCCAGTCTGGGCAGGTTCTGCAGCTGCGAAGTGCGGGGCGGATGCCAGATGGTGGCGCCAGAGGTGCCAGGAGGTGGCAGGAGGGCCTGGCTGCTGTCGACCTAACCCTAACCCTAACCGTAAACCTAACCCCTAAACCTAACCCCTAAACCTAACCCTAACCCTAACCCTAAACCTAACCCCTAACCCTAACCCCTAACCCTAACCCTAACCCTAAACCTAACCCCTAACCCTAACCCTAAACCTAACCCTAACCCTAACCCTAAACCTAACCCCTAACCCTAACCCTAACCCTAACCCTAACCCTAAACCTAACCCCTAACCCTAACCCTAAACCTAACCCCTAACCCTAACCCTAACCTAGAGACCGGGGACCTTCAGTGTCCCTGGGCTGGGCCCTCATGACCAGCCAGGCTTTGTCCACAGTGACCCAGAGTCTGGGAGGGTGAGCGGGGCCCGCCTGCTGTGGAGGCCACGCAGCTTCTCTCCGGGAAGATCCCAGCGGGTGAGCGGCCACCCCTGCCCTGCTCACCTGCCTTGCTCGGCCGGGCGGGCCCAGGGCTCCCCCCATGCCCCCCGCTCACACGCTGTCTCCTCCTCTGCCTCTAGGGACGGCCTGTGTCCCAGGCGCCCGCGGGCCTTCCTGGGTGGCCCCTCCCGCCCTCTGGGTCCCCACGGCGAGCACCCTCATCCGCTCAGGGCAGCGCAGCCTGCAGGTGGAACAGAAGGCCAGACGCCGCGTGTGTCCCCGAGGGCCGGGCTGCAGCAAGGCTGGGGAACCTGGGCCTTGTGGGCCCGTCACAGCCCGGGGTCGGTCACTCGTCACCCTCAGTGTGCAGGAGCTGAGGGACGCCTTGCAGGCCCGTGCACCGAGGCCCCGCAGCGGCCAGGGTCCCCCGGAATTTGGGCCCGCGTGGCCTGCCACCAGGACCTCCCTGCCCTTGACCCCAGAGCAGAAGCCCTCGCCCCCAGTTGTGTGTTAGAATCTGAAGAACTTTTAAAAAGACCAAAAAAACCAAACCCAGAAATTGTCACAGCCAAGCGAAGCCTAAGGGGACAAGATAACTAACGGTGCTGTACTAGGTGGGATCTTGGCACAGGAAAGCGACATTAGGAAAAAACTATGGAAACGTAAATAAAGCATGAACTTTAGTTAATAACGATGCATGAAAATTGGTTCATTGGGATCCCTCGGTGGCGCAGCGGTTTGGCGCCTGCCTTTGGCCCAGGGCGCGATCCTGGAGACCCGGGATCGAATCCCACATCGGGCTCCCGGTGCATGGAGCCTGCTTCTCCCTCTGCCTGTGTCTCTACCTCTCTCTCTCTCTCTCTGTGACTATCATAAATAAATAAAAATTAAAAAAAAAAAAAGAAAATTGGTTCATTAATTGTGACAAATGCACCATACTGATGTCAGATGTTCACAGTAGTGAAACTACGTGTGGTGTAGACAGCAACTCGCTTTACGACCCTCATAGTAATTCTGTAAGTCTAAATCTGTTTTAAAATAAAAATTCTAGTGGTGCCCGGGGGGCTCAGCGGTGAGCGTCTGCCTCAGGCTCAGGACGTGACCCTGGGGTCCCGGGATCGAGTCCCGCGTCGGGCTCCCTGCACGGAGCCTGCTCCTCCCTCTGCCGTGTCTCTGCCTCCCTCTCTGTGTCTCTCATGAATAAATAAATAAATAATAACAAAATAAAATAAAAAGTCTATTTAAAAAAAAACCCGCAAAGCCTGGGCCCTATGTCAGAGCAATTAAATGAAAGCGGAGACCCCCTGGAGGTGAGGGCCAGGCATCGGCACCTCTTCATCAGCCCCCAGCGGTGCAAGGCTCCTGAGGGCCGAGCACTGTCCCCCCCTCCCCGGGGGCCCCAGGCCGCAGGAGCGCTGGCTCCTCGTCCTACTCGTTGCTGTTCTAGCGCGGAGCTCGGAGTCGGGCCCAGGCGTTCCCTACGTGTTTGATGAGTGAACCAATGAATGTTAACCTCTCTCAGTTCAACCTGACGTGACCAGCTCTGCAGAGACAAGATGCTGTCGGGCAGCGCCTCTGTCCCGAGGGCCTCGGGGCGGTCTGGACATTGCAGCTGCAGGGGAAGCGGTAGCCGTGGGGCCCCAGGCATCCCCCTGACCCCGCGGAGACCGAGGGAGGCGGGAAAAGGAAGCAGACTCGGAAGTGGCCACCTTGCGAGCTGCAGACCCAGAGGAGACCTCAGTAAAGATGAGTGGATTGAAGAGTTTTTTCTTTTTTAAAATATTTTATTTATTTATCCATGAGGGACACAGAGAGAGAGGCAGAGACACAGGCAGAGGGAGAGGCAGGCTCCATGCAGGGAGCCTGATGCGGGACTCGATCCTGGGACCCCGGGGTCATGCCCTGGGCTGAAGGCAGATGCTCCACCGCTGAGCCCCTGGGCACCCCTGAAGAGTTTTGCTTTTGCTGGTTTTCTACCACATGTATTTCCTGTCATCTAAGGTCTACCCTGCCCTAGCTAAAGTCCCCTGCAGAAAGGGTGGGAACCTAGGCTGTGAGGACGTGAGCGGCTGGGGTCTGGGCGGGGTCCTGGCCTGGGGCTGGGGGACAGAGGCTGCCTCGGGTGTGGAGGGAGCGGGGGGGGGGGGTGGCTCCTCCTGGATCTGCGGGGGCCGGTGGGGCCTCCACAGGAAGGGTTACAGCTCCCGCTGGGCTGCCCTAATTCTGCGCCGGGAGCTTCTCTCAGGGCTTTACTTGCTGGAGGGTCCGTTCACGTTCACAGGCTCCTCCTGAATGATCCTCCATGTCTCCCTCCCATCTTGTTGGTGATGAAATGAGGCCTAGAGGGAGGTAACCTACCCCAGGTCACATCAGGAGGAAGTGGTAGGACCAGAATCCACCACCTGTAACCCAGCTCAGAGTGTGTCCCGCTACCCGCCACCCCACGGCTGGCGAGGGGCACACCGCCTAGGTTTGCAGGAAAAGCACCGACTTCAGAACCGGGCCAAGCGAGGATCCAACCTGGCTCTGCGACCTTGGATGTGGCACTTAACCCTCCCAGGCCCCCTTTTCTCAACTGTAAAGCAAAGCTCCCAGCCAGGTTGCTCCGAGGGTTAAGTGAGATCGTGTATTTAGCCTTTCTCATCTCCTTTCTCCGTTCCCAAGCTTATCTCCTTCTCATCCCTGTTCCCATTTAGCATTCACATTTCTTTATCTTTCCAAAGCAAGGGAAGAAAAGCAGAGGTTTTCCAAGTCTTGATCTATTCTTCTGATGGAGCAAAAACTCAACTCTCTCTAATGGAGCTGAGTTATCGGAAATATACCTCTGTGCGTGTTTATGTTCATGTTTATACGGGTGCCCATCTGACCACGTGTGCACACGTCATACGAGTGTGCGTGAGGATGAACGGTTAGGTAGGCATAGATATAGATCCAGCTTTACCGGCTATAAAAGATCCTTGCTGGTGTGGCCTGGTGGAAAAAGGCGGTCACCCACTGGTGCACGAGCCTAAGGTAGAAGACAGTGGGGCGAGATCCATAATTTCAACAGGGCTCCAAAGGTGGGGAGTGTTCAGTTTGGCTGAAGGAGTTAGAGCGGGCTTCTCAGAGGAGCTGACACCACGTTGGAGGGGCAGGAGTTGGTGAGGCAGAGGGCACCAGCCTACGACATGGAGAAGACCCTAGAAGGAAATAGAAAGGACACGTTGAAAAAAAAAAAGAAAGAAATAAAGAAAAAGAAGAAAAAGAAAGAGAAAGAAAGAAAGAAAGAAAGAAGAAAGAAAGGACACATTGTGGAACTGTCGGTCACTGCGTCTGCGGGAGAGGAGGTCCCCTGCAACATGGGGGTGAACCTGGGCCCTGACGCTACGTGCCTGTGTCATTTCCTTGGATCACCTGGATGATGTACGTTATTACGCCCATTTACAGAGGGAAGTAACGTTCAGGGACTTCAAGTCACCTGCCCTAAAGTCCATAGTTAAGAAACAAGAGGCCCCGAGAACCAGTGGTACCCCCTGGTCTTCCACACCGACTGCAGGCGGGCGAGGGAGCAGGCTGATGTGGGAAGCAGGGCCAAGAAAACAGGAGGACTGAGCTTTAGTGCTAAGTGGCCTTGACGGTCCACAGAGGTGTTACGGGTTTAGGGGAGATGACACATTTTTAAGTGCTTTAACTGGGAAGGCACCGCAGATGCTGAATGCACCAGAACGCAGGGCAGGAAGTCACGTCTGCCTAAGTTTTGAGAGAGCATCTAGCACAGTTTGCAGACCAGGGGCTTCCCTGGGAAACTGGGGAGTGCTGAAGTGCTTGGACGGCGGCATCAGGCAGGCCTGAGTCCGGCTCTTGTTCTCTTTACATTCGCTGGCTTCGGGGCTGTGGGCAGACCCCTTCTCTGGGCCCCGGGTCCCTTACCACTGAAAAGGGGGGGCTGTACCCGGGGGGCCCCAGGGTCACACAGTCACATCCCGGGTCTGCCCTCCCCAGACGTCGCAGCTGGGCTCAGGGTCACCTTCGAGATGGCCTCCAGGGACCCCACAGAGAGCTCCCCAATCTTGGGAAAGGAAATATAACTTAAAAAAGGAAAACCTTGATTGAACTATTTGGTTATAAATACGGTTTATGGAAAAATCCAGATGATACTGAAAAATATAAAGTCCATACATAAAATGTAGAGGATGCAGAAACAGTATAAGAATGAATAGGAAGTTTGTCTAGACCTAGATGCTACTAATTGTTTGGTATGTGTTACTAAACATGTTTAATAAGAATAAATATATGTAAATCAGTATTTAAAAATCTTCTTTTGTATAATCTTCTCTGTCATTAGTTAAATATAATATAAATGATACTCTTTGCATATAGAAACTGCTTTCTAAAAATTCTAGTTGGATTCCTTTAACTGATCAAAAATGTTATTGAAAAATTAGTTGAGCATTTTTGACGTCAGTACCAACTGTTTCTGTGTTAATGATTTGCCAAATAGCAAGTAATAAGCCTGTTAGGTGGTGTCACGAATTATTCTTAAAAAATCTTTGCAACCTTCTGAAAAATCAGATACAAACCTGGTCAGTTAACCTTGACTTTACATCTTTAGCTTTAGGAGATACTGTTGCTGACCTCAATGCTTTATGGAAAGCTCGTTCTCGCGACGATGTTCTCTTTACTAAGAGAAGCCGGTCCGGGACAGCGCTCTGGGGAAGGCCGCGTCCGCTCCATCACGCCAGCAGAGCCAAGCTGTCCATGTCCGTCTAAAACCTCCTGTCGGCGGCTGGAACTCTGCAGCTGTCTTCCCTTCGTGCCGTGAGCGATCGGCTCCCGCAATCCAAGAATAGTGCAGCGGGTGAGGGGGCCACGTCCCTGGTGGGTGAGGCTCTGGAGCGCGGCCGCCCACGCCGCAGGTAACGCCACGGAAGCCGGACGAGGCCTTGGCTACCCGAGCTCCGGCTCCCAGCGGTGCGAGTCTGGTCGGGGGAGCCCAGGCTCTGCTGTGACGACAATCCTGCCCCCGTATCACCAGCTTTGTGTATGAGCACGTGTCGCCCACTCGGTGCCCTGGTCGCCAGGTGGGCCCTGCTCGTCTAGTCGCTCGGGGACCCGGAGGGACAGAAGCTTCATTTCACCTTCACCATGTCCTTCGAGGACAGGAGGCAAGTTCTTCAAGCTCCCATCCTGCTGAGCTCCAGGCAGCTTCTACCGACACTTTATGGTGTCAGATAAGTCACTAGGGCTACATCTAATTCCAAAGGGGCAGGGAAGAGGGATCCTGCCACCCCCCAGACATTTACCCTGAAGCCGACCGTGTGAGCTCCGGCAGGTCAGCTGCCCTCTGTCCGCCTCAGCTTCAGGTTCTGTAAGAAGGAGGGTTACCTGGCCCCGTATCCCGTGATCCATTCGTCAGGCCGCCTGTCAGTGAGGGCCGCAGTGTCCGCGTAGAGCCCCGCTCCTGGCCCGGCCGAGCAGGCCTCATCCCGGCTGAGTTCCCTCCCTCCCTACGACGCGGGGTGAGGTATTCAGCATCCTCTGGACCCCGGTTTCCTGATCTGTAAATGGAGGTGATAATGGAGCTGGTGTGCCGACAGCGTCCGTGTTATACAGGTTACGCAGGGCCAGCGAGGTCCCAGAACAGTCTCGGGCGTATCCGAGGTGTCATGTGCTTGCTGGTCTCATACTGATCCCCCCTGAAGCCACTTCTACAGTGAATATTCACTCCGAATCTTCCTAGTTAGTTGTGAAAGCTCTTACGAGGACTGAAGGGCAAGCAGGTGGCAATCTACGTCTACGTTGCAGATGGCGGGGTCCCCACGGGAAGTGTAAGGGGAGGAAGTAGTGTTTCTGGGGTTTGAGTTTCTGCTTCCATCGACTGAGCACCGAGTGTGTGCCCGGCTCTATACTGAATGCTTCCGCGGCGACCCGAGGAGGTGGTCCTCCACATGAGGAAACTGGGGCTTCAGGAGGTTAGGGACACGCCCCAGGTCCCACAGGGGGTGGGGGTGGGGCCTTGGAAGCACAGGGTGCAGGCCAGGGTGCAGTTAGACTTGCATGGAAGCCTTTGTTCGTCCCCCTGAGCATGTTGTCAAGGATCGTCCGCTCGTCCTTTCACCCGTTCACCCTCTCCTAGACTGGAAGTCCCTCAAAGGCAGAAGGGGTTGCCCTTAATTCTCGGGGCCTCTACATTCCTCACACCAACCAGTGACACCACAGGGTGACCGTTAGGGGGAAGAGAAGGAAGCCAAGATTGGAGTCTTGGATTTAGATCCCCGCGGCGGCCTGATGATCTCCAGAACGTCACCTCTTCTCCTGAGACTTTCGCTTCTGGACCCGACTCTGCTGCACACGACTTTCCGTCCAAAACGGCTTCACGGCCCCGTCTCCCAACACTCACGATGTTCTGGACACTTGTTGACTCGGAGCTACCAGCACACTCAAGGGTGCTTATTATCAATTTAGGCCACTTGGCTTGTCTTCGACTCACTTCAAAGTCAGGGAGGGAAAGATACCATCCAAGACATTTACGCGTCTTTCTTCACCAGGGCGAGAAGCTTCCATTTGCCTCAGGTTCTGCCAAAGAAGGAGCCGAGGGTGAGACGAGGGACAGGACCCCGCGGAGCCCGTGGGGCGCAGGAGCCGCACCGTGTGCCCGGGAGAAACCCCTCGGACCAGGGTGCTCTGGGGAGGCAGGGCCCGCCTGACCTCTGGCAACCAAGCCCCGGCGACGGGCTCGCGGGGTCCTGCCCATGGGCTGCCCACGCGGTGGGCACAGGCTGCGCCCGACCTCCCGCAGCGCCAGCCTGCGGAAAACCACGCGGGGAGCAGTCGGCCGCGGCCTGCAAGTGGGTGCACGGGGTGGGGTGTGCAGAGCTGGGGGAGCAGCTGGGGAGTAGCGGGGGGAGCACCTGGAGCCCTGGCCTGCCGGGCCCTGCACCCCTGCTCCTGCCGCCCACACTCACTGCGGTGCTGACTGCTCAGATCACCCCTGGGCTCCCGGACCGCCCGGAGCCCGGAAGGACTGGCACCCCCTGCCCTGCCACATCAGGGCCTCTGGCCGTTGCCCACCGCTGGGACTCTACCACAGGCCCCGCTGTGCTGCAAGCCCCTCCCAAGGCTCCCGGGCCCCGTGTCACGGGGGGGACCACGCGGCCTCCCCACGCCTTCGTCGGGGTCTGTGCCCACCTCGGGCCCCACTCCCACCTCGGGCCCTGTACCCACCTCGCACCCTGCACCCATCTCAAGGCCTGTGCCCATCTCAGGCCCTGCACCCACCTCGGACCCTGTGCCCACCTCGGGCCCTGCACCCACCTCGGGCCCCACACCCACCTCAGGCCCTGAGCCCACCTTGGACCCTGCGCCCACCTCGGGCCCTGTGCCCACCTCAGGCCCTGCACCCATCTCAGGCCCCGTGCCCACCTCAGGGCCGAGCCTCCGCAGCCGCCTGCCTGCCTCACACACACGGCCACCGACCCTGCGATCTTCCCGCAGACCTTCCGCGGCCCCGGCTCCCGGGCTGAGCCCCAGGCCCCACTAGATGGCCGCAGCGCACGGTCACGGGAAGTGTCCGAACCCCCGGGTGCTTGGGGACACCCAACTGCCTTCCGCAGCTTTGGCCCACCTTCCGATCCCAGAGGCTGCGAGGTCCCGCCCGGGAGCCGCCCCTGAAAGCACCGAGGGGCCTGGGACCCGAGGGCGGGGCCTGCGTCGGGTGCTGCGTCCTGCGGAAAGCTTGTGCCAGCCCGGAGCATCCGTCCAACTTCCATCTGGTACCAAGTGCTTGAAAGGAGCAGGGACCTGGGTTGGGCACCGGTGAGAGAAGAGCCCACGGTTAACACTATGGAGGCAGACCTGGCCTCAAAATTTGGCCCCGCTGCTTTGGGGCTGTGGGGCTGTGTGACCGTGGGCCAGAGCCTCAGCCTCTCTGGGCCTTGCTTTCCTGTGTGTCCTCAGTCAAACCGCTGGAGTTGGTCGTGAGGATTAAATGAGATACTATATAGGCCCGGCCTAGTGCCTATACCGCACAGGCGCTCAGCAGGGTGGACAGTCGCGTCCAGGACATTCTGGGAGCTCGGGGCTTCAGGACCCTGCTTGGCTGCAGGGGACGTGGGGAGTGAGAAACAGCCCCTTTGAGGAGCTCAGACAGAGCACCAGTCAATGAGCAAAATGCCGCAAGGGAGACATCGCGGCCGGGACATATAAGGGGTGTTAGGAGAGTGGGAACCAGAAGGCTCAGCGAGGCGCCCGAGGGGAGCAGGACGGTGCCAGGGGGAGGGGTGCAGGGCCCGGAGAGCAGCTCAGGGACACGGGGGCAACCAGAAGGGCGCAGCTCGGCGGGGGCCCCCGGCGCCCAAGAGGAGCGTGAAAGGCCTCAGGGAGGCAAAGCACCTGGGACGGGACTCGGGCCGGATGTAGGACAGCTGGGTTCAAGGTTGATGTCCTTCCCCTTCCAGCCATTGACGTTCGGCGAGGCCTTGCCCTCAGAGCTGTCACTCCCCATCAGTAGGACACGGAGGGAACCCTCGCTCCTGAACGCTGCCGCGCTTGTGCAGACTCGGGTGTGTGTGCAGCCGTGTCTCTTGGGCTCTGCAGGGCCCCCCGTGACCCGGGTCCTCCAAGGGCATCGTGGGGGCCTCCTCAGCAGGGCGCTCACTGTGTGAGTCGAGTGTGTCCTTGCCATCCCTCCTCCGGCAGGTTGGGAGCACCTTCCCCTCTCTGCGGCCCTGGGCTGAGGGGCTGGTTCACGCTGGCATGGGTGTGACCCCCTCTGCGTCTCACTCAGCGGAGAAGCTAAGCACGGTCGTGGTCTTGTACACGTGTCCCGGATGAGGGGCTTCCCAACGCCCAGGAGACCCTGGCAAACCTGCACGGCTTGGCCACCCAGCAGATGGCCGAGCTGGGCTGCAGGCCTGCGGCTGAGCTGGAATCTCATCCGGGCCTGTCCGCCTTAGCACCCCAGCTCTTAGCCTCTGCACAGGAACTCAAACCAGCAAATGCTGTCAGATGGTTTCAAAACAGAGTAATCGCCGACTTCTGATTCATCCCCGAACCGACTGATGAGCCTTCCCCGGCTCTCAGCTTACCCGCTCTCCTTCCGCACAAGGAGCGTGGCATTCGGTCTTGGGCTGTGACGCTCATACTTCGAATACTTCAAATATTGTCCTGTGAATAGACTGTAAACAGAGAGGCGAGGAGGAGGAGGAGAGGAAGGGGGGGATGAGGCTCGGCCACCAGCACCTGTCCTCCTGGGACCGCAGCCGAGTGCTGTGTCGGGCTCTCTGCTCCCCCCCCCGTGCCCCCCAGCGCCGTCCCCTCGCCTCCCTCCGGAGCCGGGGGCACCAGTTCCGAACCCTCGGCAGGCCGGCCCACCCGTGAGCCCTGCAGCTGGACAGCAGCTGTGAAATGGGAGTTGGGGAGGGCCGCTCGGCTGAGCAGAAGCTGTCAGGACCCTTGCTGTGTGTTCCAAAGCGCATTTTAAACCGGCGGCACGGTGTGAGGCTGGCGGCCCACGGTGAAGGATGAGCAGGATGCCTGCTGGGCGACAGGCAGGCGTGATGACACAGGGGCCAAGTGCTATTTACTCCCTGGGAACAGGTGCTACCCGGGACTCGATCCGTCCTGCCTGCCTTCTCTGCCCACATGTCCCAGGCCCGTCAAGGCAGCTCCTTCCAGGGCCCCCGCGGCCCCAGCCCCCCGCCCCACCTCGCGCTTGGCTCGGGGCGTGCTCGGCTCACCGGCGCCTGGAAGATGCCAGCGGCGGGCGGCTCCCGCCTGGGCCTCGTGCTTGCTGGAAGCGGCTCGTTTTACATAAGCTGTTGGCGCAGATGTCAGGTGACAACTGCCTTTCGGCCCTGGTTAACCTACAACCATCCTATCTGCGCCCACGCGGATGCAACAGAGGGCGGCACGGGGAGAGTCCTGGAAGGGGGAGGGAGAAAACTCTGCAAGCAAGTGTGTTTGTGCACCAGCACACTCACCTCTGGAAAACACCCGAGGCTGCGAAGCACAACTGACTTCTCTGCGACGGGAGAAACCGAGAGCCGTGCAGACAAGCTCCAGCTACCCCCAGCTGGCCTTTCCTCCCCTCATTATATGTTATTTCCTTAAAGCTCTGGTTGGTAAACATGCAACAGTCCTTTGTTGATTCACAAAACAATACAGAAGTCGGTTAAGACATTTCTCTGCACAGTTGGATTAAGGACAAATAGAGAAGAGGAAGTGAGCAGGAGGCCGGGAGGCCTTGTGGGGCCCATGAACCAGACCACATGCTGCATTCGCCCCGGGCCCTTCCACTCGGACCCTGTGACCCCCAGAGCATGCCCTGCCAACTGTGACCAGCCCCTCAGCCCAGGGCTGCAGAGAGGGAAACATGCTCCAAGCGGCCGGTGGAGGGATGACAAGTACACAGATGACCACAGCACGTGGCCCGGGGTCACAGGGCCTTGAGCGAGGAAAATGCACGCTGCGGGTCCGGAAGAGGACAGGACCGCGTGAGGCTGGGGAGCTGGGCAGGAGACGGCCCCTCGCGCTCCCAGTTGGGACCCTCAGACACTGTCCTCACTGGCATCCTGCCTCCAGGCTCGCGCCACCCCCAGGGCACCCCATTCTGCCGCCGGAACGGTCCTTCCAACTCCAGAATTGACAGAGTCCCCCATTCATTTGAAACCCTCCCTGGCTCCCACCACTCCGGGATAAAGGACGCGACCCCAGGTCACCTAGCCGCCCTCCCTCCCGGCCTCACCGCTGTGTCTTCTCTCCCGTGGTGGGAGGCCCTGCATCCCCGTCCCCCCTCCGGCTGCCCCCCGGGTCCCCCTCCTGGTCGTCCCTGCATGCGACTTCCTCGTAGCGTCAGTCATGCCATCCTCTGTGCTCTCTTCCCCTTGCTAGAGTTCTTTGGGTTAGAGTACTCCACGTGCGTGCCAGTGTTCACATGAGCCTGGAGCCTCTTAGGCAAGAGTCACACGTAGTTCAAGGCTGTACCCCAGCATCTAGCACAGTAACTGGCGCTTAGTCATGCTGCATACACGTCGGTTCCCTCCCTTTCCACCAGAGGAAAGCTGACATCCTGCTTGGGCTGGCCATGCCCCGCGTCCTGAGTGCCTGCTTCTCCCTTTCTGGGCCTTTCCTCTGTAGTCCTCACCACACCCTTTTCCAAAGCCTTGTGCTCCTTCCATCCTCAACAACCTCCTCCCACTGCAAAACAAGAAAACAAAAAAGAAAAGAAAAGAAAAGAAAAGAAAAAAGTCCTGGTCTCGGGTCTTAGGGGAAGATAATGTCTTCCAATAATTTAATTTTATTTGTTCTCTTTCTGCAGCTCACGGAGCTCACAGCTTGACCCTCATTATAGAGGTATTGAGGCCTCAATCTGGTAGGCCAGCAAAGAGAACCCAAAGAGGCGATGGGGTGGGGAACTGATTGTTTTTGATCACCTGGTATCTCTCATACACCAGCTCCTTTTGTCCCACAATAACCCAGTGAACAGGGTATTTTTACCTTCATGTCATAGATCAAGACACTGAAACTCAGAGGCAGCAACTGACTATCCCAAGGTCACTCAGCCGATAACCAAGGGAGCCAGGATTTCAACCCAGAATTCTCTAATTCCAAAGGGCTTGCCCCTTCACTGTAATGTGGAGGGGGAGTCTGTGGAGAGCGAGTGTCTGACGTTTCTTAATCAAACTTCACACACACAAAAAATGGAAAGCCACCGTGCTGATTGTTTCTTCACCCTACAAGTCCCAGGTTGAAATCCTGGTGCTGCCAAGAGGCCCCAGTTTCCTCCAGCCTGCCTGGTTAGGAATGCATTTTATTGCATTGCACGGTCTGGAGTTGTTTCCTATGTATACATCTTTTCATCTGAATCCAAAGGCTGTAAACATGTTCCCCAGACAGGGTCTAGGACGGTGCCCGGCACATGGCAAGGAGCCAACCAGTAAGTCCCTTTATTCCAGACAGTTATTGATTTGCAGAGTCAGAGACCCAAGTTCCACTTTCAACTCCTTTTATGACCTTGGACAAATCACCACCATTTCTCTGGCCTTCAGTTCCCTTATCTCTAAAGGAGGCTGGCTCACAAGATCTATACTATCCGACACTTCTCTCCTCCGTGCTGGGCATCTCAGAGCCTCCCATCCACTCACTCGTTTAATCCCCACAACAGCCTAGGAAGCGGATCTCATTTTATAGAAGCAGGAAAGCAAAGCACAGAGAGATGAAACGGCTTTCTCAAGGCTACACAGCCAGTAAGTGGCAGAGCCCGGGTTACAGGCCAGCCGTCTGCTCCCAGAGACTGTGCTCTTATCATTACACTAACCTCCTCCCCTAGAGTCCTTTCTACACGACGTAAACGTCCCTTCATTCACTCTACAGTCATTTCCTGACCCTCTACTCAGTACCAGCCACAAGTCTGCATTGTGATGGGCACCAGCGGCAAGAACCCAACAAGCTCCCAATTCTGCCCTTGGGGTCCCCATGGCGGAGTGGGGAGAGGTAGCTGAGTGACCACAGGCCATCGAGGTATCCTGAACGTCTGTACCAGCTACAGCACAGGCACATCCAGCATATGTGCCTCCCAAATAGCCCTACACCGGATTTCTCAGTAATTACTGTGTTTTGTTTTCTCGTGGATTCACATCATAACGCAGAGGTCCTCTGTTGGGAACGGGGATTAAGCACCGCTGACCTGTGGGTGCTTCTGACCTGCCATCTCTAGTTAGTTGGACCCACCTGCTCAGGCCCTATCACAGGCTCCTCCCAGTCTACCTTCAGCTTCCCCTGTACCCTCATCACCCAGCACCACCCTGCATACGACTTTCCCGTCCAGGCCGAAGCCCCTCTGTTCCTACAGGCATGTCAACTGTCTCACCTTCCCTCGCCTGCTGCAGCCCCACGCATCCTTCTTGGCTCATCCTAGAGTCCACCTCCATGAGGCCTCTCTTGATTCCCTAACCAGATGCAATCACTCCCTCCTCACCCTTCTGTGCAGAGTTCAAGTTCCTCACAGGCAAGAACATGTTTTATGAGCGATTCTCCTGGGCGTGCATCACAGCAATTCCTGGTGCAGAGCAGAAACTCTGAGGCACAGTACAAGGTACAATTAACTTGCCTGCAAAGTCCTCGTTTCTAGCCTCTACTTAATACTTCTGTGATGTACTCAATTTTTTTTTTTTTAGTTTTTGTTTCTTCTGATTGCTAAAGAATACAGAAAGATGTAAAGAAGGCCTAATTATCCATAATTTCTACCCATCGGTGATAACCACTATTGCTCTTTTGGTAGATTTCCTTCTTTTCTCTACACATGGAGCACACATGGAAATAAATATACTATAATTATTTATTGTAATTTTTCACTTAATATTTTGTGAATATTATCTTTGATAAAATGGTTTCTACAGGATTTTTTTAATTGTTGAGGTATAGTTCATGTACAATAAATGCCCCCATTTTAAGTGTGTAGTTTGGTGAGTTTTGACAACTGCGTACACTTGTGTAACCATTACCATAGACGAGATTTAAAATATTTCCATCACTCTCAAAAGTTCCTGAACACCCTTTTGAAGTCAGCCCTGATGTTGCCCTCAGGCTTGGACAACTCCTCACTTGCTTCTACAGCCTGATTTTTAATGACCACGTAAGGTTCCATCATATGGGATGCCCTAATTTGTTTGGCTGTTGCCTGACTGTTGGACCTTAAGGAAGGTGTTTAATTTTTCCCTGTAATAAACGACAACCCAGTGAACAATCTTTGGTCACGCCTCTGATTGTTTCTTTGGGATAAGTGCTCGGACCTGGAATTGTTGGATCAAAGGGGATGTGCAGTTTCAAAGTTTACGATAAATATTTGAGCAAGTCACTTTTAATCCTTCTGAGTCTCCGTTTCCTCATTTGTAAAATTGGAATTAAAAATTCCAACCCGAAGGACTTGTGAGGATTACCTGGGACAAGCTATAGATACTTTGAGTAACTAGTAAACTGATCCACAGATACTTGGGAGCTGAGTAGGAGGAAGAGTCTCTCTGATCTGATCTTGACACTCGCCTCTTTCCTAAGTGTTGACCTTGAATACGTTAGTTAACCTTAGCCAGCCTCAGTGTTCTCATTTGTCAAATGGGAATAACAGGTTCCCTTCTCCTAGGGTTGTAGGAAGTTTAAGTGAGATACTCCACGTAAAGGCTTAGGATAATTCCCAGCTCATAGCTGCTCAGTAATTTGTCGTGATTAATTCTGGTCGGAGTCCTTGGTTACAAATAAAGGGGCACCAACTCTGGTTGACTTAAAGAAAATAGGAAGTTACTGAAAGGCCATTGGGTGGCTTACAGAATCGACAGGAAGGTTAAAGAAGCAGGTGTGGAAAATGGGCAGGAACGGATGTAGACTGGGCAGCTGAGAACACAGCTTGGCCTCGCCCCAGGAACCGTCAGATTGTGACCGGGGGCTGGCACTGCTGCTGCCACTCAGACTGCGGCTGGGATCATCTCGGCCATCCCCTGTCTCTGTGTCACTTGCTCTAGATTTAGAGTCCCAGACCGAGGCATCTGAACGGCTGCGCCCAGCATGCAGGTCGGAGCCCTGGCTGCCGGCGGACGGGGTGGGAACTGCCTGACTTCTTCCAGCTTCTCTAGGAGGGAGGGAGTTTCCGGCTTCTTCCCCAACCTCACGGAATGACAAAACTCTCTGAAATAGAAAGCAGGCTCAGATGCTGGGTAGTTGAAAATGATAAGTCCACTATGCTATTATTTTTAACATAACTGAATCAATATAAATAAATAACAATGTATCCTATAAGTACATGCTAAGTGCTATAGGGCACATCATTTCAATGAAACTTCTTTTTTTTTTTTTTAATTTTTTATTTATTTATGATAGTCACAGAGAGAGAGAGAGAGGCAGAGACACAGGCAGAGGGAGAAGCAGGCTCCATGCACCGGGAGCCCGACGTGGGATTCGATCCCGGGTCTCCAGGATCGCGCCCCGGGCCAAAGGCAAGCGCCAAACCGCTGCGCCACCCAGGGATCCCTCAATGAAACTTCTTGATGAGTGCTCTGATGAAAGAAAGATAGAGCAAACTTGCACATCTGGATAGTGTCCTAGTGGGTTTTCTTCCCACGGGAACAGGTCTGTACAGACTTTTTTTGGTTTTAAGGACACAGGGAGAAGGACAGAGGACACAGGAAGAAGATAGACTCTGATTTACTGAAAATGAGCACTCTTGAGCAAACACTTAAATCCCATTGTTCATTTCCTTTTGGTTTAATGTGATATAATTTTTCACTAAAACTGGTGAAGTACAGTCACTTAAGATGATGTAGAAAATCCACAGCTGAGGGTTAACCTGGGGCTGGTTTGATTTTAGGGGGGATCAGTTGGACATAGTCAATAGCAATTTCTATCATTACTCTTTTTTAGAGCTGTGGTTTATTCAGCCCTTTTTTTTTTAAAAAAAAGGTTTTATTTATTTATTCATGAGAGACACACAGAGAGAGGCAGAGACACAGGCAGAGGGAGAAGCAGGCTCCATGCAGCGAGCCCGACGCGGGACTCGATCCCGAGTCTCCAGGATGACGCCCTGGGCCGAAGGCGGCGCTAAACCACTGAGCCACCTGGGGATCCCGTTATTCAGCCCTTAATGGGAATTGCCTTATTTAATTCTCACAATCACCCTTGGGAGAATTCAGAGGCTCAGAGGATAAGGCCAGTGTTCTCAAGGTCACTGTGTGACCTTTTCCACTAGTGAGTGAAAAGTTTGGGATTTGAAGCCAGGTCTGCCTGCACCGAATCCAAAGCTCTAGCTACAAGTGTAGCAGAGGACACAGCATGCACATGAATGTGGGGAGCTGGGGCAAGACCACCGTGTAAACGGGCGTGTTGGCCAGGTGGATGGAGCCTGAGGACAGAGGGTGAGAGGTGAGCTCCCCAGGAGTGAGCTCACACATACGAGTACATCCCCAGGGCCCCAGGGCCTCGGGCCTAGCTAGGGTGGTGGACTAGCTGTTGGTACAAGAGATGTTCTAAAAATGTGTTTGTTCTGCCTTAAAGACTTTCCTATTGTAAAAGATTAAATGAATATGTGCAAATATATGAAATATCCCCCTCTTTCCTCCCCCATCTTGCCAGGCTACCAGTGGTACCAGTTGTTATGCATCCCGTCAGAGCTCTCCCTGTGCACTCACAAATATAAGGTACACAGCATAGATCCTTGTATTTCTTACATAAATGGTATCATACTATATGTGTTGTTCTAACATTTTCTGTGTTCACTTAACAATACGTCTCAGAGATCTTTCTGTGGTGGTATATATAGTTCCACCTCATTTTTTAACAGTTGCATAATTTTCTATAGTGTGACCACTGTATGAATATATCATAATTAACACTGTTAAAGATTTGAGATGCTTCCGATTTTTTTGTGTGTGTGTGTGATTAAAAAAACAAAAACTGCAATGATCCACAAGTGATTTGCAGCTTCCGAAAGCATATTCAGACTGATAGTGCGTATCAGCCTGTTCCACCGGCTTACAGGTCTGTAGGTCTTCGTGATTTGAGACCTTACAGAGAAGCCTGCAGGTTTAACTCTGCTCTGGACCCTCCCCTGGTAATCATCTCTGACCAGATCCCTTCCCTTGAGTTCGTCGCCTTTTTCTCCTGTTACCTTTCACTCTGTACGCATCTTACTCACTCCCTATTGCTCTGAGATATAATTATTTCTATCTTTGTGCTTTTTCCTACCGGATTGTGAGCTCCTGGAAAGCAGGGACTTCATTTTCTTTGTTTCTAGGCCCACGCCTGGCACACGGTAGGATCAATAGGCATTGGCTAAATGAAGCTGAACCCATGTGCTGAACACACCAGCAGTCCCCTCAAGACCTCTAAAGGCAGGGTCACGCTGTCTCATGCCACATCATACATACTATATGCATACAACGTATGTGCTGTCACAGAGAAACGAAACCGTTCTGTGAAATACTTGGATTTACCAATGATTAGAAGACATGGATGAAGTCCTTCTTTCTTGATCTAAAGAGAGTTGTTATGAATTCTCTGTATTAGTTTCCTAGAAGTGCTGTAACAAGGTTCCGCAGACTGGGCGACTTAACAGAAATGTGTTGCCTCCGTTCCGGAAGCTAGACCTTCAGAACAAAGGTGTTGTGACATTGCTTCCTTCCGAGGGGTCAAGGGAAGGTGTGGTCTAGGCCTCTCTCCTTGGCTTGTGGTTGGCTGTCTTCTCTCCATGTTTCTTCATGTTATCGTACCTCTATGTCTGTCTGTGTCCGAGTTTCCTTTTCTCAGAAGGACACTAGTCCTGTTGGGTTAGGGACCACCCTCATTTTAGCTTGATTACATCTGTAAAGATCCTCTCTCTAAATAAGGTCGTGTTCTGAAGTGCTGTGGAGGTAGGTTGAGTTAGGACTTGAGCATATGAAGTTGGGGGCAGGGAGACAATTCCATTCCTAACACTCTTCTTTTGAAAACCATTTTTAAAATCATATCAAGGAACTCTGATCCGGCATCTTCTGGGACTATGAAAATTAAATTATAAAAGGTCTTTGAGTATGCAATTTGCAGAGGACCAAGCCTTGTGAAGTGTCTGCCCCATTCTGGGCCCACAGCATCTGGAGCCCAAGCTCTCTCCTCCCTTGAGGCTGAAGGTGCTCCACTCACTGCTAATTACACTGCCAGCCATTCCCATGGTCTTGAAAATATTTCTCTGAGGATATCAAATCTGGGATCCTGTTGCTGATAAAAGCTTTCAGTTTCACAAGAGTTTGGTTCTTCAGGCGTTTTTTTCAGCTCAGGACCAATCTGGCAGATGAGCTGTGTGTCATCTACATGTACTTGATTTAAGACGAGGCCGTGCGATGGAGCCTAGCTTGGGGTCCAAGGGGGACTCCTGCCCTAAGTGTGGCTTATGGGCCCCTCCTCCGAGGCCCCACTCTGGGGCCTCTCTCTGATCCAGCCCTAATGCAGATGTAATCATCTCTCTTCACCTGTCTCATTCACTGTATTCCCTTAACAGCTGACACTGGGCAGCTGATTTTTCTGAATTAGTCAACAAATCCCAAACTGCTTGCGTAAGAACCCCGCCTCCAAGATAGTTCATGGTTTTAGCAAACTAGGCCAACTGAGGGGAAAGGAGCAAGAGAGTAAGTCTGGCATCGAGCAAGAGCCAGGGAAGGTGTGCATGTGGGATTGAGGATGGGAAGGCTGGTGGAAATGGACGTGGAAGTCTCCCAAAAGGCTCATGTACCCACCCACCCGCCCACTCACCTACCTCCCCATCCATCTACCCACCCACTTATCATCTACCCGCCCACCCATTCACCCATCTGTCCGTGCATCCACTTATCCATCCACCCAGTCACCCAACAACTATTTCTAAGCACTTGCTATTGGCAGACACTCTGCGGGACATTAGGAACGAAATAGTGAGTAAGACCGAGTGCCTGTCTTCTCAGGGCTGACATTTTGTGGACACAAATAAAACTCAGGTAAAGTAATGCATAGACACTGTGTTTATGTGTGTAGCACTCCATACGCTACACACACGAGATGAAACCCAAAGCAGGAAAAGGGGTGTGTTCTCCTCGGTAGGGTCTAAAGGGAAGGCTTTGAAGAAATGATGCTTCAGCAAAGGCCTCCTTGAAGTGAGGGAGAAAATCATGTGACTACCTGGGAGAGAGCAGACCAGGTGAAGAGAAGGGAGATGCAAAAACCCCGGGCAGGCCGGTACCTCGAACAGAGGGAGGAGGCCCATGAGGTGGGAGCAAAGGAAGGCAGCAGCAGGTGATGACAGCGTAAAGACCTGCTCTCTTCTAGGGCTTTAAAAAACCTCTTAAGCAGACAATTATTAAGAGCTTACTACATATTAGACTTTGTTTTAAGGACTTGTGAGCTATTCATTTATTTCTCACAAAAGAATATTTGCTTGGTATTATTAGCATCCTTATTTTATAAATGAAGACACGGAGGCACCAAGATTAAACAGCTTTGCCCGAACACGGCTGGTAAGTGACGGAGCCAGATCCATGGCCCAGGCTCACTATGTGACCGGGGAACACGGCGCCGTCCTTGGGTAGAGACTCAGCTCTGGTTAGCACCGCGGGAGCCACCTGCTCCCTCACGCGCTCCTGCCCCATGTGCTCCCCCGCTAGTGCTTCGAGGAGCAGCTAGTGTTCATTCACTCACTCAACAAAGGGACGTGCTCGTTAACCTCGCCGGGCACACACGAGGGCACTGGGCACACAGGACAAACAGGAAGACGATCGAGGTGAGAAGGCCGGAGAGCAAGGAGGCGATGGCTGGGCGCTCAGAGCCGTGAAGGAGAGAAGCGCAGGATGTTACCAGGACTCGGGGGGAGGGGGGGGCATGTGTCCGTGCTTCAGTGGCTCAGGACTTGCAGAAGCCTTGCTAGAGAAAGGTGACCCGGAGCCCGGTCGCCCCGCCTCCTGTCTGGTAGAGAGAACCTTGTCCGCAGCGAGCCCCGCTGCTGACACGCCTGTCCCCACACAGCACGTGCCAGCAAACCCACTCTAAACTGTTCACGAATCACTGGTCATCGCTCCCCTCCCCTCCTGCCCGTCCCTCCCCCACCTGGGGGCTCAAGTGTTGGAGCCCCTAAAAGGTGGCTGCTCTCCCCAAGGGAAGAGGCCCGGAGAGCTACCAAAGCTTTCATGGATGCAAGTCAGGCTCTAGTTACTGGCTGGGAGAGGACTTCAGATCCGCCAGCCTCTTTCGCAAGCCCCCTGAGGTCACGGCACGGCACGAGGGCAGCTCTGGTGAGGGTGACTGGGGGTGGGGAAGGCCCTGCCTATGCGTCAAGCTGGTCCTGGAAGGGAGACAAGCAGGCAGGAAGGAACCAGGAGGCCTTGGACGCACAAGAAAGGAGAAACCGCCGCAGGGTCCAGGAGAACCCCTCGGCCCGGCCAGCCCGGAGGCTCTCTATGCCAACAGCAAATCCTGGGGTGCTGCAGCCCGCAAACCCTGGCCCTCACTTTCTTCCTCAGAGAGGAAAAAAAAAAAGGTAAGGAAGTGGGTAGCTCTCAGAGGACTGTTATAATTTCAAAGCAAGAAGGAGTTGTTTTTGATGTCCGCCCAGAGATACAGCAGGTCCCAGGGGGCTACGCTTGTGGTTCCAGTAAAAGGAGCGATGTTGACATGGAATTCTTGGATTGGCCTCATTTCACGAAAAACAAGCTGCCAAACCAAATGGGAAATGGAGTTCAGCAGAGAAGTATGTGCTGACTCCCCCGTGCCCCCTCCACCCTGAGTCGGCTGCCAGCGACCATCGCACACGACTTAGTTCTCCGACCAGAGATCCAGCATCGGGGACTCTTGCTGGCAGGTCCCCCGGTGCGCAGGACGCACAGTTCGCTCCTGACGGGCTATTCCTCAGCAGGGGCAGCCTGTGCCCACGGCCGTCACTTCTCCCACTTCCTGTTCTTTAATGGAAAAGAGAAAATGCTGGGCAGAGAGATGATTGGAACCAGATGAACTCCCCTAAGGTGCCCCAGGAGCCGGATGTATGTGAAGAAGTGCAGACTTGTAGCTCCCACTTGCCGGGTCCCAGGCGGGATACCTGCCGCTCCCCGGGTCTGCTTCCGTGCTGGGTCGGGCCAGCTCCCGGCGCGCCAGCCGTGGAGGGGGACGCCCAGGCCAGGCCTACCTCGCCCATCCGCCAGCTCCGGGAGCTCGGACAACTGGCTTAAGCTCTTTACGCTTGGGCTCCCTCAGCTGTCGAATGCACATGAAAGACCTATATTGTAGGGTTCCTCTGAGGATTAGATAAAAGCATTCACATAAAATGCTAAGGCATCATGCTCGTACACAACCACTCAATAAACTACAGTGGCTCTTTTTTTTATCACCATATAGGTCAGTCAATGTAGCTAGTTAAGATTCTTTATTTATTTTTTTAAGATTTTATTTATTTATTCACGAGAGACACAGAGGGAGAAGCAGGCTCCTCGCGGGGAGTCAGATGCGGGACTCGATCCCGGGACCCGGGACCACGACCTGAGCCAAAGGCAGACGCCCCTAGTTAAGATTCTTTTTTTTTTTTTTTTGTTAAGATTCTTTTGAATATAAAAAGTAAGATGAGGACTAAAAGCTGGCTCGAAAAAAAGATAGTGGTGCTACAGGAGAGTAGGAGGTGCAAATTCTAGGGATACAAATTACCTTGTGAAACATGGGGCAGGAGGCAGAGTTGAGGCTTGTGGGTTGGAATCAGGGATTGCAAATGGGGAACTAAGACTTCGTACTCTATCCCAGTGGGTCTCTCAGACCAGTGTCGGCCGATAGAATTAGCTATGACCATGGGAATGGTCTAGATCTCTGCAGGGCCGCTGAGGGAGTAAATTTTAAATTACTGATGCTATTTATATAAAACAACCTAAACAAATCCAAAGAATCAATCAAAATTATTATGTGAATAGAATAGAAAAGCCCCATATGGCTGCCAAGTTGGACAGCATCGTTCTAGACACAGCTTCGCTCTCTTGCACACACGTGTGCACCCTCTCCACCCGCTTCCTCTCCACCCTCGACGCCTAGTCAACCAGGCGTCAACTACCTCCCAGCCCAGGGCCCACTTTCGACTGTTGTGCCTCTGTTTGGCGGTTCCAAATCCTAAGGGAGTCATCTGGTTGACTTCACTTACCTCTTCATGCCATGCTGCAATTAAAGGCCCCTCTAGAAAGCCCTTTGGGGCCAGGGTTCCCCACTGACCACGGGGTTGCGGGACCTTATACTCTCTCCACGAGGGCCGGGGTGGGGGGATTCCCCGGGAGGGCGGTGTGGGGCAGGTGGCTCTGGAGCCTGTGCCTTTTGTCTGAGGGTGGCCGTGATCCAGCGGTTGGCGTCCATGCCTCCGCCCGGCCCAGGAACTGGATGGCTAGGACAGGAAGAATGACGGTACCTTTCCCGGGCTTCTGAGGTGATTCAGGGCCTGTTTGTGAGGAAGGCCCAAAGGTCTCGCATTAGCTAGTGGATCTGGGAGGAAGCAGATAAAGAAGGAGCAGCCTCTGCCCGGTGCCCGCTGAGCCACACCCAAGCCTGGGGTGCTCTTCTACGCTGGGTGGTGACGAATGACTGAAGACTTGAAAACACCAGGTTTGAAAAAGAATGTTTTGTTTTTCCTCCAGATTCCTGGAGGCACCAGGAGGCAGATTGGCATTGGCCAGAGAACAATGGGCAACTTGGGGACTCTGTGTCATTGTCAGCCCCTGGCTTCTCCCCGTTGATTGAGCTTGACAAGCCTTCGCCGTCAAGCCTCTGGCCAGGCCTGTCCCGCAGCTGCCAGTGTCTGGCCTTTGTGCTCCGGGCCAGTTAATTGCTTTGCAGGAGTCTGAACGCAGGGCGCAGGGCGTCAGTGGGCTGTTGAACTTCCTAAATCAAACATCAGACCTTATTAAAGGGACAGTGACAAGCCACAAACTGTGTGATAATAGGATCCTCAGCGAAAACTGGGGGCGACAGCGCCCACCGCCTCCGGGCTGCCCCGAGGAAGACACTGCGACAAGGTGCCGGCAGCACAGACCTGAGCGGACATGAGGGGGCCGCGGGGGCTCTCCCTGCCCCTCCTGCCTGCCCCCTGGCCCAGTCCGCTGCCCGCGCAGCACCCAGAGGAGCACCAAGGCTACTCTGCTGCTAACTCCTTCTGAGGACCCTCGGTTGCACTAAGAAAACCCCCCAGCTCTGACCCCTGAGACCCGGCTCGGGGCCCCCCACCTCTGTGGCCCTCCCCCTGCTCACTCAACCTGGCCACACAGGCCTCTCGCTGCACTTCCACCTGAAACCCAGTCTCACCGTAGGACGTCTACACTGACAGGTCCCTGCCCTTCTGGAATGTTCTTCTCCTAGATCGGTTTTGCACGGCTGGCTCTTATTCTCAACGTACCCTCAGGTCTTTCCTGATCATCCAATTTAAAGTATTTGCTCGGTCACACGACTCACCTGGTGGGTTTTTTTTTATTTATTTTTTTTTTTTTTTTTTTTTTATCGTAGCATTTACCCTTCGCTGCCAGACATTCGTCCAGCTGTGCGTTGACTTTCGTTCTTGCTCAGTTAAATTAGCCTCTTCAGTGTAGGAGGTCATTCAGGTGAGACTTTGCCTTATTTGTCTTAAAGGTTTGCAACTTCCAGGACTGCACAAAGCACAGCTCAGTTCTCGGTTATTGTTTGGTGATCAATGATTAACTTAGGATTGACTGGTACAGGTTGGCAGGTTTGCAAAGATCCAGGGTTTTATGTTGTGTTTAATTGTATGATCTTGGTGTTAATTTAATTTTTTAGCAAAACTAAAGGACTAACCCTCTAACGTCCCTGACTGTGGGTTTTGGATCTTTCTGGGCTCCCTTTCCTCTGCTATAGACAATGACTCCCCTTTCACTAAACTAATGTGGCTCTTCCGAAGTGTACCTAGGTTCACTTTTTAAAAATGCTTTGAAAATAAATAATAAATAAATAAATAAATAAATAAATAAACAAACAACAACAAGCTTTGAAAAGACTCATTCTGGATTGAGTACAAATCCAGACGTAGCCCCAGATATTCTCTTGAACCTGAGCATCTAGATGTCTTGCAGTTTCCTCCAACTGAGCGTATCTGAACTGAGATCGGCAACTTGCATGCTCTTCCTCCAAGTCACTCTGCCTCTTTTGTTCTCTGCCTCCCAGAGCAGCTCAGTCCTCCTTCCAGGGTAACAGCCAGAAATCTGGGCCTGATCCTCAGCGCCCACCTCTCCCTCTACCTTCCTGCTGAATGAGTGGATTCCAGCCCCGGCTTTCTGAACCTGTCCAAATCCATCTCCTTGTCTCCATCCCCAACCCTTACCACAGTCTAGGCCCTTTGATGCCTCGATTCGGTTATTGAAACAGCCTCCTTCTTGGCCTCCTTGACTCCGTTCTTTCTGCCGCCGCCAGTCCACTCTCCATTCCACAAACATTATCAGTTAAAGAGCAAGTCCTAGCATCTTCCCCTCAGTGGCTTTCCACTGTTCCAGAATGAAAGTCAAAACCCCTTTGTGCGATCTCCAAGGCCTTGATATTGCTTATCTCACCAGGCCCACTTCTTGCAACTTCCCTCCGTCCTCCATCCCCAACCTCTTCCTGTTCCCCAAACTCTATGTGTCTCTCCTCTTCGGTGCTGGTGTCCACGTCGTCCTCTCTGCCCAGAACATTCTTACCCCTTTCCTTGCCTGAATGAATACCTGTCGGTTCCTTCGATCTTGTATATGCGTCAGGACTGCAGGTGCCCAGGTCTTAGACGGGTGCTCCTGCTTCGCACACCGGAAATGGTCGCTACTACTCTGCTGCTAACAGCAATGAAATTAGGAAGAGGATTAGAATATGAGACACGGCCTGGGGCTCAAACAGGATCAAAGTATATGGCTTTCTCAGGTCCAGGATCCGTCTACTTTGTTGTTTCTCCATCCTGAGGGACTGCCCTCGCTGGCGCGGTTCCAGATGGCTCACGGCCGCGTCTGACATCCCAGCCATGCAGTGAGTAGGGCGGTTGCCGTGGACTGAATATGTGTGTCCCCCTCCCCAAATTCATATGCTGAAATCCTAATCTGCACTATGATGGTATTTAAAGATGGGATTTGGGGAGGTAATTAGCCCTGAGAGCAGAGCCCTCATGAAGGGATTAGTGCCCTCTCAAGAAGAAACACAGGAAAAAAAAAAAAAGAAGAAGAAACACAGGAGTGCCGTCCCGTCCCTCCCTCCCCCTCCTTCTCCCTCCCCTTCCCCCTCCCTCTCCCTCCCTCCCCGCACTATGTAAGGACACAGTGAGGAGAGAGCCAGCAGTCTGTAATCAGAAGATGGCCTTCACCGAGAGCCCAGCCACGCTGGCACCTTGGTCTCGTGCTTGTAGCCTCCAGAACCGTGAGACATAAGGATTTGTTGCCTACCCCACCCGGCCCATAGTATTCTCTTTCCGCAGCCAGAGCTAAGTCGGGGCCAGAAGAAGTTGAGGGAGCAGGAGGGCGTCACCTGGGGGTAATGACATAATTACAGCCCAGAAGAGGAGAACCGACTGCACCACCTGCCAGTATTTACGGAGCACTGAGCTAAGCCAATGCCTTCCCTCATTTGACTCTCCCCACCACCTTGTGGGGGCAAATGCTTATTTATTATCCTCCTTCTCATTTTTAAGCAAAGGATGTTTTATCAACAAGCCAACTTTGCAAATCTGTGAAATATAATGAAGAGCCAGTGAGCCCGGCACACCATGTGATGGCAGCTCCTTCTCAGAAAAGTTTTCATGTGACGTGCACATGACTCTTCTATTTGTTAACAAACACGGCAAGGAATTCCGGCACTTTCTGTTCTTGTGTAGCTATTATTTTAAACTTAGTTTTATGATCGTCCAAGTCATATGTGCATGTAGTTAAACAGTCAAAAGATGCTTTGATACAAGAGGGGGGCCTGCCTCGGTGCTCCCCACTCTTTCCCCAAACTATGCCGTGCAGCTTCCCGTGGCCCAGAGACAAACGCTTTCGGCGCTTGCCCCCCTTGATCCGGCGTCTCTCACTGACCGGCGGGTACTGCCATCGGTGCTTTGTCGGTTTGACGCCTTCTCCCTTGACTTTCTACCCTGAGAAGATGAGGATTTAGCTGTGACATCTGGCCACTGCCCCGTGTGCAACCTACGCACATATTTTCTCTCCCTATCCTCCTTGCCCTCAGTATAGATCTCACCCACTTCCTTTTAGCCAGGTCAGTATTTTCAAAGCTGTGTCATCAAGAACACTCCGCGTTTTACTTTTCCTGCACGATTTTTTATTTCCCCTGAAGTCATTTTCTCTTATTTAGGATTGCTGAATTTTCGGTGTATTTCTGACTTAGCCTCAAACCTGTCCACGGTGGCAGAAACCTCTTCCAAATGTTTTCAAACACAGCTGGCGTCCTATCAAGTTCATCTTTTTGAAGCAATCTCCCCGGGGGACTTCTGATCGGCTCTGATCTGGACAGGGGCCCCCAGGCCTGGGGGACAGCTGTCATCCCAAGATCCCCCCCACCCGCCTGGGCCTTCCTTGCACCCCTCTTAGGCTGAAACTCCTTGTCTGTGGGCCTCATGCTCTCCTCTTTCCTGTATTATTCTTTTAGCCGGGAGTGTGGGCAAGAGGCCATGGGAGGTTTGTGTTTGTTTTGACCATATGTGCGACATGTTTCACGTGCCATCCTTAATAGGAATTCTTAGCCTCATGTCAGAGATGAAGCAATTGAAGTTTAGGAATATTAAGCAACAAGGGGCTTGTTCCGTGGCTGTAGGAGGGTCTTTCCCCAGTGGCAGCACGTGCCACGCTCGCTTTCTGACCTGTTTTCCCTCGTGAGCTGCAAGCCCCCTGGGGGCTGGGGACTCTCCCCTGCTCTGTCCTGCCCCTCCAGTGGCAGGGGCATCCTAGGTGCTCAACGATTGTTTCTTAAGTGAATTTGTTGGGTCTGACTTGGGGAAAATTATTTATTACATCCCTGCAATATGCATTTTGTTTCTAACATCCCAAACCGCAACTCTCTGCACCCGCGGTCGTTATTCCCCACCCCTGCCCTGGTGTGCCGATGGCCATCCAGGGGAGAGCTAAGGGTCTTGCCTGCACCTGAAAGAGCTCAAAATAAATTCTCGGCACAGGTCTCGCTCGTGCTTTGCTCCTGAATCACAGAACAGTCTTCCACACTTCATTTGTGTGAGATGTAATAGCAGAATCACAAAATATTTTTTCCCTGAAAGAACAACTCACTCGACTGAAGGCAAATGCTATATTTATGGTATTTCTTTCCTGTTTTTAGGATAGCCCATGGAAACTGGATCGAACAAAGGAATTATTTTTATGAGGATAAATCTGTGTGTATCGGGTGGTGTTTGCTCGCTGCCCATTAAGTCTGAACGTTGCAGCTTGGAAGAAAACAACACTCTCTGATTAACAAAAACAACCCGAAACAGTTCCCTTCAGCCTGCCGCCTCTGTATTATGCTAAACCCTAATGTAGCAAACACGCCCCGGTGCCCGGTGCCCTCCCAGAACCCAAACCTCCCACTGCTAAAAATAGCCCCCGGGCTTTCCCTGCGGCTCGAAAACAGGAACAGCATAACTTGTTTGCCTCATTATGTGTTCTGCACAGGGATCCAGTCCCTCTAACATCCTGGCCCTCACACAACAGGGGCAAATCCTAATCTGCTGATTACGAGTCCAACAGGTCCAACAATAGGAAGTGAATTCCACACCACCTCGGCTGGCCTCGGCCCTTAAACAATGCCCGGCTCAGCCCGATTCCCAGGTGGGGTAAGGACCACAACTGCCACCTGCAGAGGGCCCCCCTCAGTGTGTGCAAGGCCCTGTGGGTGCAGAAATAGGCGCTGTGTGTGTGTACTAACCCTTCAACCCTTAGCCTCCTTGAGGGGAAGTCCCATGATTAACCCCATTTCATAGATGAAGGAACTTGCCTGCTCACCCCCGACGGCATGGGTGGCGTCCACGCCCAGCTGGGCTTGACTAATGAGCATCACGCAGCGTGACCTCACCTGTGCTTCCACCGGCTGAGGCAGCTCGGACGTGGAGGGGGCTGAGGGAGGTCTTGTCTATGCAGCCAAAGTCTGATGGCGGTTGGCCCAGGAAGCTGAGGGCGGGACTACCCCCTCTCAGTCTGGAGGGCCTGTCAGGGTCGTCTGTCCTTGAGGATCTTTCCTTCTGCAGCGTATCTGACTCAGTCCCGCCCAACTCCGTGGGAAATCCAGGCTTTGGAGTTGGCCAGGCCTGTCCCCCAAGGGAGGAATGAAGGCCAAGGCCCATCCCAGAGGCCGGGCTAGGGGAACGTCCGCTGCCTGGGCCAGTGGCTGAGAAGGTGCATCTCGCCGTGGCCCCTGGCACCGTGCAGCTGCCGCGTGCCACCTGGCACCTTGTCGCAGCAGGTGAGGGGACCCGAGGCTGCAGGCAGGCTGTCCGGCCAGCAACAGGGCCCTACCACGCGGAGGGAGCAGGGCTGGAGGGCGTCCCCAAGCCAGCAGCAGTGTCTGGGTGAGGTCTGCAGCTCCCAGCAGCCTGGCCTGTGTGCGACAGCCGTGCGCTCTTGTCCCGGGCCGGCAGCCTCCTGTGGCCACGGAAGACGGGGGGCACGAGGCCCGCAGTCGCTCCCGTGCGGGTGAGAGGCCCGTGGGGCAGGCCCTGAGCATCCCACGGGCCGACCTCTCTGAGCCCCCGGCCCCCGCAGACAGGCCGAGCAGGCGGTCCTGCCCCGACAGGGAGGCCGGGTCCACAGCTGCCCGGGCACCGTGCCACCCGCCTCCGAGCACAGGCCGGTGGGGCCGCTGGGCCGCAGCTATGCTGCCCGGGCGCTGCTCGGTCTCTGCGCGAGGAGCTGTGACATCGCTCATGCCGGTTAACGAGCGCCTGGCATAGATCCCCTCATTTCAGGGCCTAAGCCGTCTCTGGGCTGCGGACACTGAATTAGAGTCGGATAAATCTACTCCCCTGATGGCAGAGAGTAAACTTGACGTACAAACATGCATCTGGTCCTCATGGGAACATTCTTTTTTTTTTTTTTTAGATTTTATTTATTTATTCATGAGAGAGAGAGAGAGAGAGAGGCAGAGACACAGGCAGAGGGAGGAGCAGGCTCCATGCAGGGAGCCCCATGAGGGACTCGATCCCAGGACCCCGAGGTCATGCCCTGAGCCCAAGGCAGGTGCTAAACCGCTGAGCCCCCCGGGCTGCCCCACAGGAACATAGTTCTAAGCCAATTGTGGGACATGCAGAATGATGCTGAGAGGCTCCTGGTCGACCCTGTTGTTCCTCGTCCACTTGTGATCATCCTGGAGGGCCTGGTGCACGCCAGGAGCCGTCACGGGCAGCGCGGGGGGGAGGACAGGGAGCCCCCGACCCCGTGGAGCTTACGGTGCAGTGGGAGAGGCTCGGGGCCGACAGGTACCATGTAAATACCTTAATGTCCGGTGGCGACAGCTCCTACGGAGGGAGGTACAGCCACGTGGGGACAGCGCTGCCCCGTGGACACGTCAGGAGAATCGTCCAGCTTCCCAGGAGCCACGTTTAGAAGAGGAAAGAAAACGGGTGAAACTAATTTTAATGAAACGTTATATCTAAATGAATACACATCCAGAATGTTACTGCAGTAAATATAAAATCCATCAATGAGATATTTTAGATTCTGGTTTTGAATCCCGCTTGTATCTTATGCTGCCTCCGGAGCGGACCAACCGCATCTCCATGCCGCTCGGGAACAGGGCACAGGGGCCGCTATCGTGGGCAGCACGGGACTCGGGAAGGACAGAGGCCGCATCCTAGGTGGGGCGGCCAGAGACCACGTCTCTCCTAAGGAGGCGAGACCCTGGTGCAGGTCCGCATGGAGCGAAGGAGCGAGAA